GGGGAATTCTGGGAGTTGAAGTCCACTCATCTTAAAGAGGCCAGGTTTGGACAACACTGGACTAGATGGATTGATAAATCAACAGCTGAAGTCCCCTTCAAATCAAGTTGGATTCCAGGTGACTTCACGAATGAATCCATGTAGTTTTCTCAGCAGTGGTAGGAAAATGACACCCCATAGCCTTATTCCAGGAGGCCTTTTCAACTTCCCTGTCTAGCTACAGCCCTGGGGTTTGCTGGTGATCTCCGATTCCCATATTAATTAATTGATTTTTTAAAAAATTATATGGCTGCCCATCTCAAGTACGTCACTCTGGAGGCCTAACAAACCAGTCCACAAGAAAAATGCTTGTAAACCCAATAAAAGATACAGTTAAAATAAATACAGAGCCAAAGAACCTGCATAACAAGCTCACGAAACAAACCCACCGATATCGGGCTCCTCTAACATCCTGGCTGCAATGTCTGGGGGAAAAGCCAGGTCTTCGTGTTCTTCCGAAGGCCAAGAGGGTCAGCCCTCTGGATCTCAAAGAGAAGGTTCTTCCATAATAATGTCCAACCCTGCTTAATTTTTTTTTTAAATCAGTCAAATCAGCTACAGGCTGCTACTGAGTTGGACCTGAGACCAAAGGAAAGGAAAAAATCTCTCTCAAGTCCAGTCTGGGTCTTAGTGACTGACCGGCCATGCAGTCATCTTGGCTACAAGATGGAAATAGAGGTTTTCTGTTGCCTTCTTCTGGGATATTGAGTTTACTTATGATTTCCCATCCAATTCCATGTCTGACCTTGCTTAGCTTTTTCATGATTAGCCAAGATCAGCGAGTCCCTGGAGCCTTTAAAATGTTCAGCCCGACTACTCAACAAACACTCCCCAGAGCTTCTGGAAGGCATTTAAACGCAGAGTCCAGGCGAGCTGAAAAGTGAAAGATCCCCGGATCTGCCCAGAATACAAAGGGCCACCTGCTTGCTCTATCTACCTTCCTACAGAGGATTCTCGTTATTCATGGGAGTTACGTGCTGTGAAGTTGCCACAAACACTGAATTAGCGAATACTGAAACCTCAATTGGGACCATGCGTATCGGGCGGTGCACATTTTTCACCACCCTGCATGTCCACGAATGACTATGTAAGCATCACAAGTATTGATTTTACAATAAATTTTAGCAAGTAGGCGAATTCACAAATACGGAATTCATGAATAATGAGAATTGACTATCCATCCATCCGTCCCAAGTATACGGCCACACATCTCACAACAGTGACTCTAGGCATTGAACAGAAGTTTAAAAATCAGAAGTCAACACAGCTTGTTCAATGAAACAACTCAAAACGACCAATGTAACACATGCCCATGGCCCAAAAACCTGCCTTATTCACGATCCATAAAAAACACAACCAACCAAATCGACAGCAGGGCTCCCTTAGCATCCTGGCCCAAATCCCCGAGGGAACAACCAGGTCAGAGACTTCACTAGTCTTTGAATCTTCAGACCTTGAGGAACTACCAAGGAGAAAACCACACCCCACCAACACTGACAGGGCAAGCTACTGCATATAAACAGAGAGCAAACCCCCCTCCCTTCTAGCCCTGAAGATGTGACCTACTCGGAGAATGAAACTTCTGCAAAAAAACAACCAAGCTCAGAGAACCCCAAGGACTCCACAGTTCAACCCTGGGCTACAGATATTCGCTTCTATTGGTACGTGGGGGATTGTCTGCAGGGAAAGCCAGTTGCAAATGTTGACTTGCAAATGAAGCTCCTCCATTGCAGAACTTCACGCTGCACCTTTAGAGATCAGCTCTTCCACCACAAATTCAACACTGGAACATAATTGCCAGAACAGGGCAACACAGAGGCCTTTCAAACAGCCTTGCCTGTGTAGGCCTTGCTTGCACCAAGGGACTTCCTAGCCGTTGCCCGTTCATCTTATTTTCATTAACAAAAATTGTCAAGGACCTTTCCGGTAGGCCAGAAATCAAGTACACGGAACCTTTGCCTTGCATGTGAACTTAGCTCATAAATTTTTTAAAAATCAAAAAATCAATCTTTAAATGAAAACCAGCATTCATAAAACCCATGATGAAAAGTTCTCCCAGTGATGGCCTCACAACCATAATTTAAACCAAGTCTACGTAAATCAATCCAAATAAATAAATAAATAAAATACATCGCTTTGTTGGCAGATTAATCAAATAAAACTTTGATTCATGTGGCAGCAAAGAAGACAAATGTAAAGTTAGGCTGCTTATCTAATTGGAAGTTCCCAAGAACCAGTCTGGGATTTTCATAGCCTTAAGATTCCATAATGTTTTCATTCATGACTTCGATGGAAGAGGATGAGGGGACGCTTCTCAAATTTGTAGATGATACACAACTGAGTGGGGTGGCAGATATGACCAATTCAAGTTGAAATGAGCTGAGAATAAACCTAACGGAGTTACGAGTGTGAAATGCAAATAAAAGCAAATAAAATCTTGGGGTGGGGTGGGGTGGGGTGGGGGATCTTGCTCGGTAATTCTATTTGATTGCAAATTAAATATAAACCAAGACTGCAGGGAGGCCGATGCAATTTTAAGCTACATCAACCAAACTAGAGTTTCCAACTCACAGGAAACAATCGTTCCAATTTGTCCAGACCCAAGAGCTGCGTCTCGCTCTGAGCACCAACATTTCAGAAGGAGTTAGATAAATCAGAACAGATTTGGTGAACAGCAACAAAGATGGACAGGGGATCAGAAGCTAAGACCTCTGGAGAAGGACTGAAGGGGCTGGGTGTCTGCCTTGAGAAAAGACAAGCAAAGGGAGTTATCAAATATCTGAACAGATGCCACAGACAAGAAGAGTAAGAATTGATTTCTCATTACAAGGCATGGAATAATGGGCTGAAGTAACAGGAAGGCTGATTGCAACTAAATATTAGCAAAACCTTCCCACAGGAAGAGCAGGTGGGACCACTGACCCAGAGAGACCGTGGAAGCAGAGACCTGACAGCCCTCTGGCTGGGTGCACAGGGGTGGCACCCAAGGGCACACCATTCTCTGGCAGTCCCCTTTAATGGTGGAGAACAAGTTCTAACCAGGAAAGCAGCAAGTTAAAGGGAATGCTGGATTCCGAAAATCAAATTCTAAAATTTTACTGTAATACAAAGAAAGGATTCTTTGTGATATATTTTGCCACCATCATTTATTTTTTTTACTTCCTCCCGTGAACAATATTCCCAAAAATTGTCTTTTGGAGATCATTCTGGATAATACATCTTTACTGCACTTAAATTAAAAGGGAGGTATTCAAGAGTGCTGCTATTGGAAAAACGTAGCCTTTGGCCTGAATGCACAAATATACCTTGTGGTTGTTAAGAGGGGCAATTTATGACAGGCGGGGGAGTTCTGGGAGTTGAAGTCCACACATCTTAAAGTTGCCAAGGTTGAGAAACTCTGGCTTAGTTCCTACCTTAGCATTACTTTGTGGTGAGATTTCTTTTGAAGTGTAATACTGGATTAAATGGTTCTTATTGGCATTAGCATAACTTTAGGGTTAGGGTTAGGCCTCCTTGAAGTCTCTGTTTGAAAATATTTGAGCAATGCTATGTGAGTGAGGTCTTATACTTAGTTATTCTGTGACAGTTTTTTAATGTTTGATGGTTATGGTTAAATTATTGATTGACTGATTGATTTTTAATATATCGAACTATATGCCTAGTCCATGGAACTTGACAACTGGACAATGTAAATGGATTCTCCGTGCCTTACTATGGCCGAAGACTGACATTGCAGCCTTGGAAAGATAAATGTACGGTCCCATTCATTCAACGGACTGAAGACCTGATTGCACTTGCCACTTATGAGCGGATTGCCTAGAGACATAGACTTTGCATGGACAAGTACAATGAAATATGGGACTCATTTATACAAAATACAGCAGGTTTAAAAAATGATAGCCATATAAATTATTAGAAATAAATACACGCTTGAATAATATTTGTTTAGAGAAGTATATACAGAATTGTAACTGTGTACTATTATAACTTAATTTTTGTTGTTGTTGCATTTTTCCCCTTTTACATTAAAGCCCTTCTATGTATCTTTTTCCTTTTTTTGTAATTAAAAAAAGAATTAAAAAATTAATAAAAAAAAAAGAAATTCACTCGAGATCTCAAGAAAGCCTCAGCCCGAATTCACCCTGATGCCAACAGGAGGTTTAGCCCATAAACGCATAAACCAGGACAAGCCCGAAGGATAAAACGTCACCCTAAACAAATGGACACACTGAAATTAACCTAATATCTCCAGGAACCATAGTGTTAAAGGTTAGTTCACCCTAATTCCAAATAAATGTTTTAACTCCAATAATTGTCCCTCTGGATAATTGCAAGACTGGCAAAGTGGGGGGAAATGTGGCAAGCCACACCCCCTGTGATGTCACTGCACAAGCCCCTCCCTTACCTACCTGCCTGCCTCATAATGCCATGCTTGGAGGAGGGGGGCTCGCCCAGTGCTCAGACCCCCAGAAGCCCATTTTGCTCCTTTCTTGCTGGCCAAAAAAGGCCTGTTTCCTGCCTGCAATGGCGAATGGCAGAAGGTGCCAGCTGCAACCCACTGCGAGAAATACTTAAATAGCCTGTTGCAGTTACTCCATGTCTCTGTCTCCTTCTTTTGGGGTTTTTAAAAACACTTTCAGGGTGGGCAAGCTGACCTCCCTGGCCATGGTTTGAACCATCTGTAAATATCTTGCCAACGGAGCATAAAAGCTAGAGAAGGCATTAGCGAAACGCTGCTCTCCTTTGCAAGGACCGGTCGTTCATCTCCTCGGCCAGACATAAAAACCCACATGGGGGGTCCTAAGTTTGTTTCACGAGACCCCGGGTCTTCCGGCGGTACCTTCAGGCTGTGCTTTCGGTTTCTTGAGCCCCGCGTCTTGCATCAGCTCGAAAGCAAAGGAGACGTTGTGAACCTGCAACCAACAAGAAGATACGGTTAGATTGTTGTAACGTCTGGGAACCCCCTTTTCCCACGAACGGCTTTTATGAAGAGGCGGCAGCTTTCATGAGCTGAATTCATCTGATGCATGGAGGGGCTAAGCCTTGTATTCTTCACTCAAGCCAGTGTTTTTCAACCTTGGGAACTTTAAGATGGGTGGACTTCAACTCCCAGAATTCCCCAGCCAGCAAGGCT